GAGAGTTACACAACTTGTTCAGAGTTCCAGAACTACTAGTAGGCAACTAAAGTCAGATCCATTGAACTGTAAAACTTGTATCCTTTTTGTTTTGTCCTCTGTCTCTCAAATTAATAATAGGTATAAAGACTACAGGTGGTTAAGATCTAGACAGTCGTGCTAAGTTTCCAGTCCAGCTACGTGCACATAGGTGACCTTGGACAAATCAGTTTATCTTCACGGAGTCTTAGTTTCCTCGCATTCACTATGCCAAGAATAATAGTACCTTTCTTACAGAGTTATTCTGAGTAAAAATAATGAGATAATTTATGCAAATAACTGAGCATGATGGCCACTCAATACCTATTGGTTATTTTATTGTTATTTATACCACTACCATCTCTAGCCCATTCTTTGCTAGGTTCCGTGTGCTCAGTGCTTCATGTGCCTTAGCTTTTTAATAGCTCTGTGAGGCAGGCATAGGATCCTCCTTGTTTACACAAGAGAAACAGGCTCAGAGGGGTTGAGGCTCTTGCCTGAGTTGAACCCAAGTCTGTCTATCTCCCAAGCCTCTTTGCTTTCCACCCATATGACAAGTGTACATTCCTTTCCTGTGCTTTTTGTGGCCTTGTGACAGTGATGCTGATTATCAGTGTTGGTGAGGTCAGTGCAGCTGTAGGTGTTGCCCACTGAGTAAGCAGCAGAACCTGGACTCCACCCAGTTCTGTGTGACTGCAGAGCCCAAAGTGCCCTGACCACTCTCCTGACCACAGCTTAAGGAGAAACAGGAGCTTGGTATTTATGGGACTGCTAATTCCACTTATAGGAAGCTTGAAATTGAGAATACTTGGAAGAGTATCCAGAGTTGTATTTTTATTTTACAGTTTTATTCCTCAGTAGCTTCCAGAAGGCTTATAGCCTTCCCAATAAGTTTTTTTTTTTTAATGATTATTTATTTTTGAGAGAGAAAGTGCAAGAATGGGGGAGGGGCAGAGGGCAAGGGGGACAGAGGATCGGAGCAGGCTCTGCACTGACAGCAGGGAGCCCAGTGCAGGGCTTGAACTGACAAACCCTGAGTTCATGATCTCAGCCCAAGTCAGACACTCAACCAACAGAGCCACCCAAGCACCCCAGCTTTCTGAAAAACTTTTATTTCTAAGGCGTTCCTAACTAAGTCAGAATTAGTTTGTAAGTTTGGATAGAATTAACAGGCCACTTGGGGCACAAAATAAATCCCCGCCCCCCTTGTGTATTCATTTAGAAAGTCTCTGTGACATGAGTAGATTGTTCCGGCCACATGGTAGAGTTCCATAAATCCATTGTTCATAGGTGATGGGAACTCACCCTTCCATCATTCAGCAGTCATTTGTACACTGATTGTTCTGAACAGAACAAAGGAAACCTCGTTGGATTTTCTTGAAATTATCTCTTCCAAGCAAAATAGGATCGGAATAACCAAAAAAACTGTGAAAAATTTAGATTCGCATCAGAATTCCAAATTGAGCTTTTGGCACAGAGACAAACTCTTGGCCTGGCTAGAAGGTGGCCAGACCATAGGCAGGCTTCAAACAGCTCGCATTTGTTCAAGTTTCAGAGTTAAATGAACAGCAGTATTTTGGGGAATGATTTCCCAGTCTCCTTAATGTAAGTTTGTATCCTCTGCACTGGTGGTCATGAGGTCTCATTTACAGAGGTGCCCTTGCACTTCAGAAACACATGTAATCACAGTGGCGATAGTCTTGTGTCCGGCACTTTGCATTTTGGCGCATGAGAACAGCCCCATCAGAGCTCTTCAGCGGCCTGGGCCTGGCTCACATAGAGGCCCAGAGAGCTGGCCTTGGGGACTGTAGTTCTCACCCGAAATGGTGCTGGTTTCCCAAACAACTTTTCTTTGAAAGAAAGCTACCCGTGTGCAAGAATCAAATACTCTCCTATGTTCCCACATCTCTTCCTGCTTGGTGTGTATCAACATTGCTTTGGAAGCAATTTTTCACGCATCTGCCGAAATCCACGGCCTTTCCTCACAACTCAAGTCGTCTTTGTTTCTCCAGCGTTTCCTACAGTTTTTAGGCAGGAGTACAACCACCACATTTTTGGTGACAGTTGAAATTAATATGCGTATACATTATCTCTGTGCCCATTATAGTTGCGCGAAGAGCTCCAAAGCTTGGAGGCCAGACGTAAGGGGGCGGAGGCCTCTCACTAAGTCTGAATTCATTTTCAGATGTTTTCAGCTATCGGGATGGCCGAGAGGGCTGTACTTGAGGCCAGAGGCAGAGGGGTGCTAAGAGGCACCATTACCTGTTGAAATCTGTGCTTGTGGGTCTGGGGCATGGCTTCTATAGTGAAGATTGGCTGGGAAAAGCTGAGCTGAAAGAATGAGACGGCTGAAGAAGTGGAGAGTGCAGATGGGAGAAGCCACAGCCGTAGATTCCGGTTCCCACCCCTCTCCTGCTTTGCTGTGCAGCAGGTCAGGAAATCTCTCCCGTGGCACGCTCACCCTACTTTACATGCTGAATTGACCTGCGGCTTAGAGAGAGCTCACGTGAGTACCTAGCACAGCACCTGGCGTGCAGGCACGGATGATCACATACAGGAGCAAGGTTTACATGTCAGTGATATTCGTGTGCCATGAGGTGCTCACCCGGGAGTAGGCTCATGGCTCAGTGTTGTTTCGGGAACACAGTAAAGGGGAGAAAGCCTCTTAGAGGCTGTGGTCCTTGAGCTCATTAAGAACCATGGTTTCTTTTTGCTTCCCTCGCAGATACTCAGGAGACTTGTACATATATATGCATAGCGCTGGTACTTATTTTTAGGGGTGCCAATTCCTCTGGAAGCCAGGACGTTTCTGTTGTTTTTGCTTTAAGTCCCCTTCTCTTCTTACCCCCTCGCCCCACTTGAACTCAGCTATGTTGTGATTCAGTTTATTTTGTTGAAAATTCAGTCCCCTAGGGAAAATATGGTAATGCTGTTTTCAGACAGCTGTGTTTGGGAGCGAGACTGACTTAACCAGCTGGCTGGCATCATTGGAGCCCAAGGACTTGCCAGCCCATGGAGCGCAGCTGTCTTGGCTAAAATTCTCATCATTCTTATGACTTTGCTTTCTATATATCTGCTTCAGAGTTCTACTTTAAAATGTATGCACAAAGAAGAGAGGGCCATTAGTCTGTGGTGTGTCTAATGCCATCCATAGTTGAAGGAAGTGGGGTACCCCTACCTTTCTCTTGTTACTCATGATTGTTGAGAAAGAAGAAATCCAGAAGGAGGCTAGCTCCAGAGTGACAGATGATAATGAGTGGATCAATAAATATTGATATCTTAATACAGTGTGGTTGTCATATAACCATTAAGAATCACGTTTACCATTTTTTTAATGTTTATTTATTTTTGAGAGGCAGAGATAGCACAAGCAGGGGAGGGGCAGAGAGAGGCGGGGAGACACAGAATCCAAAGCAGGCTCCAGGCTCCGAGCTGTCAGCACAGAGCCCGACCCGGGGCTCGAACCCACGAACCATGAAATCATGACCCGAGCTTAAGTCGGATGCTTAACCGACTAAGGCGCACCAACCTATTTTTTAAACAAGGGAGAAACGTTGAAATATACTGTTAGATGTATGGGATACTAATATATGTAGATTATATAATCCCATTTAGGGAAGATGTTCTTTTGACATTAAGTGAGATAACTCACACAAAGCACTTAACATGGCACCTGGCATATGGCAGATGCCCAGTAAATCACAGCTACCGGATGCAAACTCTCCAGCCACGGGGAACACATTTACCTCGTGCAGTGCTAGACCCAGAGTCCTCGGTATGAAGTAAATGCTCGAAAGGTCTTTCTTGATTGAATGAATTAGTGTGACTATTTTTATGTGTTTGAAAAGAAATCTAGAAAAACCGAGGGAGACAGCTTTCTGTGTTATCTGTGATTGTATCTATAGTTGTGGCAGTTTAACCTCTCTGCCTTGGTTCTTCATTATAAATGGTGAGGACAGTACCTGTTGCTCCAGATCATTGAGAATTGAATGAGCCACATGTAAAACACATGCAGTGACTAATCCCCAGGGAACTGACATTACATGGCGGCTACAGTAATCATGGCAAGCACTGTATAAGTGTAGCTGTTATCATAGTTCTATCAAACTTATATCTGTAAAAAGAGAAAAAATTGTCATGATTTTAGTCTATTGTTTTCTTCTTATTTTCCCTGGGACTTTTTTTTTTTTTTTTTTTTTTTTTTTTTTTTTTTTTTTTGTGAAAGCTTAAAAGAAAAAAGTTCATAAGAAAACTCACATGTTTGTAGTAGTTACCTTTAAGTAGTGGAATTGGAAAAGTTGTTCTCTTTTTTTTCTTGATGCTTTTCTACATTTTCCAAATGTTAGTACTGGTTACATTTGTCATCAGCCTCCCCCACCCCCCCGCCTTTTAAATAAGAAAACACTCAGCATCAAAGATGATGCACAGCTCCTGAACTAGAAAGCAGGCACCATCTAAGGATGACAGAGGACCCAGAACTGGTGCCCTGCTCTGGACTTCTTCTTGGAATGTTATTTAAATGCATGTTTCACATTCTAAGAAAGTTGTGAAGGAGTCGTTAAGAACTGGTCAATAGAACCAGTGAGGAAAAGTAAAGGGGTTTTGATTAATTGGTTCTGGACAAAAGGTAGTCAGAAAGCTCAAAGCCTTGGTAATAGACCATGGCTTGTATTTAGCACAATACATTCCCATTTCTCCTGGAAAGAACAACCGACAGAACATCAAGGGAAGTGACAGCAGAAGGGGCTAGAAATGGAAGGAAATAGTCCCCAATATCCAGGATATGCTTCTGAAAGAAAACGTTTAATATCATTTCTGAGAGACGTTTCAAGTGAAATCCTGAGCAAATGCTGGTGGTCTTTTCGGGTCTTTTTCTTGCTGATTCTTTCATACCACCAAGCTTTCGGTTGTGCTGGTCGGGGCCTGTGCTTGCTCCCCCACTCACAGCAGCGTGTGACCCTTTTGTGAAACTTTACTTGCAGATATTCAACACCGTGCCTGATATGCCTCTCACCAATGCCCAGCTGCACCTGTCCCGGAAGAAGAGCAGTGACTCCAAGCCCCCTTCCTGCAGCGAAAGGCCCCTGACGCTCTTCCACACCATGCAGTCAGCAGAGAAACGTGAGTCTCCTGCTCAGGGCCAGCAAGGTGCTCACGAGACGGCCCGTGCCACCTTCCACCTGCTCAGGGTGCACACCTCCCGCCTCTCTCTATGGGTGCCTGCCCTGCGTGTCCTTGAGGATGGTGTATGGCGGTGCCCTCGCAAGTTTCATTGCTGAGTAAGCCTGGTAGGACAGGAAGTAGTGTTAGGAGAATGAAAGACAAGGGCCACTTGCTGTTCAGGATTCTCTTTCCAGATCTCCTTTGGGCGAACAGCTGAGCATTGTTTCTTCCTGCTACACAGTAAGAGCTCAGCTCTGGCGTTACTGCCTTGGCCCCTTTTTTGTTAGCGGCTTCCACAGAACCAGTTTCCTTTTCTCAGTTTGTAATTAAATGCTTATTAGTGCAAGTCACATGCCCTACTGGACTGTGACTCTGAGGGCTGGCCCTTGCTTGGCTCATCCTTCTGCTCCACCTCACAGGGCCTGGCATGGAGCAGACACTTAATATATGTGTGAACTTAATTAATGAATTAATTAGAGAATAATGCCCTCTTTGTTCCAAGCAGTAGAGTGTTATCACCTCGGTTTGACTGAATCCTCTTTTCATGTCAGAACTGAGTTCTTTGCAGTTATCAGGCCACTGGGCCTTAAAATATCCAGGCTTATTTGAGCTTCTGTAATAAGAGAGCTGGGTGGTGGTGAGGGCTCCAGCTCTGCCTGGAGTCCCATCAGACCTGGGTTTTTGTGCCAGAAGCAATGCACGGGCAAGCCTTTTACCTTCTTGCAGCCTCCGTTTGCTCATCTGTGTAGTAGGAATAACAGTGCCTATCTTAAAGGGATTTGTTAAGGATTAAATGCAATTTTGCATTTAAGCATCTGGCACAAGTCCTAGACTTGGCAAGGGCTGAGAGCTGCCACTATTATTACTAGTTATTGTTTAATCACGTGCAAATACCAAGGCTAATTCTTTCATGCAACTGACGCTTAGACGAGGCCTGCAAGGGACTGGGAGTATACAAATAGGACCTTGTTTTTAAAGTGCTCACAGTGGAGTGAGGGGAATAGACAAGTGAATGGATCATGTAGGTCACCGCAGTAAGCACCTTCAGAGGGAGATACCCATTCACAGAGGCTGTGGAACATGTGACAGTTGAGAGCATGCACTGGCACCGGACTGCTTGGCTGCTAGCTCTGAGTCTGCCGCTCTCTGGCTGTGCACGATGTGGGCAAGTTAACTTGCATCTCGGGGCCTTGGGCTTCTCTTTTGGAAGACAGGGATACTAGTTTCTCCCTCACAGAGTTGTTGTGCAGATTAAAGCACTTCACACGGCACCTGGTGCACAATAAGTGCGTTTACTGGGGGGGGGGGGGGGGGGGGGGGGGGGGGGGGGGGGGGGCGGAGGTGATGTTGTTATTGTTGCTGTTGTTGCCTTTATGAAGTACAGTAAAGGCACAGATCAGAAGAATCAGCCACTTGGCTTCGAAAAGGAGAGAAAATCCATATCTGGATTGGCATCTTCTTCTTCCTTACGAAAAAGCATTTCTTATCCCCTGTATTTCAGAAGTTATCATTCTGAAAACAAATATTCGCTGCCCCCAGAGTGTCACTGCATTTAAAGATGTCATACTATCCCATAAAATGGCTGGACCTTGGTGAATTTAGCACCCTTTGTGTTGTTTCAGATGTTTAGCTTTCATGAGTAAAGCCCCTGTTAATCTTTGTAGCTAAATCTGTTCATATACATGATCATTTCGTTAAGATAAATCCTGGAAGAATTTCTAGGTGAAAGGATTTGTATACTTTTGGGGTTTTGACCCCAATGGGGTTGAGTTCTCTTCAAACAATAGCCCGTGTTGCTCTTAAATACCTGGCTTGGGTCCTTCTCACTTCGGTCTGCACATGGCCTGGGCCCCTCTGAGTGTAGTAGGGAACACTTGGAACAGGACTGGTCTCACCCATATCTGCCATGAACAGGGCATTAGGCTGTGGAGGGGTGTGTTCCTCAGGTGTCCAGGAGAGTGACAGTCACCTCGTTTTGTACTAAGCAATGAGCAGTGTAGGTTACGATGGAAGCAGAAGCAGCTTGGAAGCAGGTCTACAAGCATACTCTGGGAGCATGTAAGGAAGAAGATGGAGATGAGGAGAAAATCAATTAGATCCTGACTCAAGATTAATTTTTATCACACGAGCCAGAGGATGAAAGTTAAGGATGTGTGAAAACAGGTGCATCTAAGCCGCAGACCGAGCTGTTATGTCCCTGTCTGCACCGTGGATGGAAGCATGGAAGATGGGAAGACAGTGAAGCAGCTTATCTTTCTTCCAAATGTTAGGAAATGCGCCCTGGAAACAGGACTGGAACTTCCATACACTCAAATATTTCAGGGGCACTTAGCTTTCTTCCCTGTCTTGGAGAAGAAACATTTCCATTGAAAAGAATGCGGGTGTGCATATATTCATAGACTTCTTATGGTTTGTTTTGGAAATTGCTTTTTTCTTGAGAAACTAGAAATGACATCCATGCTGGCTTGGAAAGTGCCATAGGAGGGGTTGAGTGAGTTGATGCTGGAAGGGAAGACTGGCCAGGAGCTGGAAGGTTTTGTGAGCACCCCTCACTGTTAGATGAGCAGGTGACCGGGCACTGTCTTGCTTGCACACAACTTACCCTTCCCTTTGTCTATCTGTGGATAAAGATAGAAGGCTACTTTATCAAAGCACTTTGCTGAATTTACTCTGTAGAATTAAAATACAAATAAATACTGCAGGTAATTGGTGAGGGAAAAATTTGTGTATTTCCATATGGTGATGTTTTTCAGTTTAAGGAACTTTGGCTACTTAGTCACTTCCCAAACTCGAGTCATTTGCATAGACCTTCATTTACTCTTTGGCCCTCAACCACATAATTCATATGCTTTTGTTTGAATACATTTCTTTAAATTGATCTTAAAGCCTCTGCCTTCTTTTTTTTTTTAATGTTTTTTTTTCAACGTTTATTTATTTTTGGGACAGAGAGAGACAGAGCATGAACGGGGGAGGGGCAGAGAGAGAGGGAGACACAGAATCGGAAACAGGCTCCAGGCTCTGAGCCATCAGCCCAGAGCCTGACGCGGGGCTCGAACTCACTGACCGCGAGATCTTGACCTGGCTGAAGTCGGACGCTTAACCGACTGCGCCACCCAGGCGCCCCAAGCCTCTGCCTTCTTTACATGGCTTCATCCTACTTAGTAAAATCTCTAAAAATGTGAATTTTATGGTCTCACTGTTTTACTTTCTAATATACATTAAACATGTAACCATTAAAATAAAGATAAAGACTTCTTACTTCTCACCTGTGAGATTTGTACTACGGTTTGGAGTCCACAGATAGTACTTTGAATTTTTGAGTGACTCCTTTCCTTTCTCTTAATGTAAATATGTGAACTCAAGTTTGTTTGGACTAGAATTGGGTTCTGATACTGTCATTTGGCTGTTCTGTCACTGGGGGTGTGCACTCTTCACCTGTTACTTCCATGCTGTGCACTTTCAGTTCCTGTGACACCTGTCCAGCTTTGGTGTGACCTTACCTTTCTTCAGGTTCTGGCCACAGAGCAAAACTTGTTACAGGCATTGTTCTTGTGTGGACACAGAAGCACATCTTCACATAACCCTTCTGTACCTTGATTTTTGGCAGATGATGTTTTTCAGAACCCCATTTCCTCTTACTTCCTCCTGAGTTCAGTTACACTTTTCCCCTCACTGATGTACTTGCACTTGAGAATTTTCTCTGTATTCCATTGGTTAGCCCTCTCTTCAGTCCCTGTTGAGATGCTTACTGGGCCTAAAACTCCTAGCGTAGCTCACTTGGCTGCTTCCTTTGAGAGGTTCCAGTTGTTGATTGTCAGCGCACATTTTTCTCTCCCCTCTCTGCATTGCTCCCACTCTGTGCAGAAGACGTTTGTCTTAGACGCAAATTTCTGCCAATGCTCTTGGCCTCAGGTTGCAGGTTGTCTCCCTTTTCCTGGAGAGGAAGGTCCTGAGAGTCATCTTGGGAGTTCATAGGCTCAATCCTCTCTCTTTGTACTTCAGGCTCCTGGAAGCATGTGGCATATTAGCTGATGCTCCTGGATATGGGTCTTGTTTTCCAGAAGGAGTTTCTTCTTCTGTGGAAATAGACCAGTTGTGTCCCACACACCTCCATAAGATTCTTCAGCTTTAATCTTATGGGTATTAGTGGAATCTTCTCCCAACAGCATTTCCCCTTTCCCTAAAGGTAGAGATCTCTTTACGGTAACCGTGTTCTCTTCCCAGAATGAGGAGTTGGGTGCTTTCTCCTACTCTCTTTTGGGTAGCGACTTTGGTCAGTTCCAAGGCAGCACATGACTCCTCGTAGACAATCAATGTGTGGTGAAAGTGGGACTAGGAATGTAATGGGAACAGTCTCTGAGACTAAAACTTTGTGGAAGGGTACCTGGGTGGTCAGTAAGTTGAGCATCCGACTTCAGCTCAGGTCATGATCTCACGGTTCATGGGTTCAATCCCCTCATCGGGCTCTGCACTGACAGTGCCGAGCCTGCTTCAAATTCCCTGCCTCTCTCTCTCTCTCTCCCTGCCCCTTCCCCATTTTCTCTCCCTCTCCCAAAAAATAAACAAAAATTAAAAAAAAAAACTTTGCAGAAAAGAAGAATAGGAATTGATGGGGAAAAACAGGATTTAGAAACATAGCAACAAATACAAGCCACTGAATATTGTTAGTGAAGAGGGACCAGAAATCCAAGTTGTATATAGGTGGTCAAGGAATGCTTCCTGAAAGGTAGAATTCCGAGTAAGATGCTAAAGGAAATGAGTCATAGTCTCACACAAAGGACAGAAGGGTGGCTGTGATGCTCTGCACAGGGAACAGGGAATGGTCTTTCTATAAGTAGCAGAGGGTAGCTCTTGTCTCTCGGACTGAGGATTGTGGAAAGGTATGTTCCCAAATTGAACTTACAAAACATTCTCCCACAGAAATCAGATTTTTGTTAATGTATGTTAAATATATATAT